GATTTCTGAGGCTAAGTCGTGGCTTGCATCTCTCTATCTTTCCCATCATTTGCTCTGGGGATGCTAGATGCCATGTCGTGGGACACTTAGGCAGCTCTGTGGGGAAGCCGACATGAGAAAGAACTGAGGCCTCCTGCCAACAGCCATTTGAGTGAGGTCCTCTTCTCCTCTGTCTTTAGAGTTCCCAAGTTTCCCCAGACACTGCTACAGGTGAGAGCCCACTGGTAGCTTGTAAACTGATTCAGGTCAGCCATGCCCATGAGGTGACCAGAACAGCCCTGACCTAACATCCAAATCCTGAGCCAAACCGCTGTCCTTTGTACGTCTCATATCTGCTCCTCAGACTGTTTGGCCTGCCCCTCGTTCTCTATGGGCATCGCCCCCTGATGTCCTGGGGAGGCATTACTATTCCCCTCAAGTATTTCCTGTTCTTTTCCCCTTCCTGGACACATAGAAGACTATTTCCCAGTCCCTGTGTAGTCAAGTGAGGTCACTGGACTAATTCTGGCCAATAGTCTGTAACGGGAAGTAATGTGTGTCACTTCCAAAATAAAGCCAGTACATGATTCTCCAAGTGCTCTTTCCCTGCTGTGGGAACTGTGGAAGCACATCAGAGCAGCCCAGGTTGCTGAGCTGCCTTAAGGTGTTGCCCAGCATCACAGTGGACTTCATGTGAATAGAAAAGAAACGTGTGGGGCTGGCCCCGTGGCCAAGTGGTTGAGTTCTCGTGCCCTGCTTTGGCAGCCCAGGGTTTTGCCACTTTGAGTCCTGGGCGCGGACATGGCACTGCTCATCAGGCCATGCTGAGGCAGCATCCCACATGCCACAACTAGAAAGACCCACAACTAAAAATACACAACTATGTACCAGGGGGCTTTGGGAGAAAAAGGAAAAATAAAAACTCTGTAGAAAAGAAACGTGTTGTGTTAAGCCACAGAGATTTTGGTATTGTGTCTGCAATATAACCTATCCTATCCTGAATGGTGGAGTATCCATTCACACTTGGACAATCTTGAAGCCCCATGTACTGCAAACCGCCTGTGGTGAGGTACAAAGATCTCTGGACTTGACATCACCCAGAACTGATTCAACTCCTAGTTCTGCCACTTACCAGCTGTGTGGCCTTGGGTAGTCACAATCTCCCCGAGCCACCGGTTCATTGACTGTAGCAGCTAACAGCTCCCTGTTTTCTCTAACCCCTGCCTTTCCCTTCTCCAGTCCATCCTCCTATCTTTGGCGCAGCTCTGGTCATCTGTATACCTCAGGGTTCTCCGCTGCCCACCATATAAAGTCCAAACTCCTCGGCCTGGCTCCCGGGGCCTTCAAAGAACCAACACAACACTTCTTTTCCAGACGTAGTCCATGCATCCCTGCTGCACATCCCTGGGACTCGAGGCTAGCCGGGCAGCCCACTCCATTCCTTTACAGAGCCTTTGTATCTTTGCTTATGCCATCCTTCTGTCTGAAATGCAGCAAACACGTATTAAGCACTGACTGTGTGTGAAACCCTTTGTCAGGCACTAAGGATATGGAGAGGAGAGAGACAGCTCTCAGCAACTCTCACTCTACTGGGGACAAGAGCCAAGGGAACCAACAGTCAAGTTGTAACACTTGAGTCAGCAGTCTGTGTTAAAACATAGGAAGGATATGAGTGGGCTGTGGGATCAGAAACAAGGCACAGCCAAATCCAAGCTGGGGGAGATCAGGGGAGGCTTCTTCGAGGAAGCGTTTGAGCTGGATTGAAGACGTGTATGAGTTACCTGCACAAATGACAGCAGGGAAGGCATTCCTGATAGCAGGAACAGCATACAAGGTGTGAAGAAAGAATGGTGCATTCAGGAAATCTAATACCGTGGTGCAAGTCAAAGGAAAAGCAGATAAAGCTGAAGAGGGAGGCAGAAGCCTCATTGGGAAGGGCCTTGATTGCCATAATTTGGACTTTATTCTGCAGAAGATATTTGGTCATCAAAGGATTTTAAGTAGAGGAGGGACTTGATCAGATTTGCACTTCAGAAAGCTCCCGCCAGTTCAAGCTCCCTGACAGCAGTGCTGAGAACCAGTTGGAAGGAATGCAAAATTGAGGCTCAGTCAGGGTCCTTTACAAGTGAGAGGATGAATTTAGTAGATATTTAAAAGGAAGAATAACAGGACTTAGAAATTGCCTGGTGAGGGGAGAGGAGGAAAGAAAGGGAAGAGAGTCAATGACTCCCAAATTTGTGCTTGGACTACTGATGGATGTGGTTCCAGACAGGGCCACCAGGTATGTCCGAAGGAGAGAAGTTTGATTTCAGACGAACTGAGTTGGAGGTGTACATGGAAGCCACTGTACGGTACTGAAAGATGGTCATCCTGTTCAGGCCAGCAGAGAGAAAGGTAGGGAGAAGGTTTCTCTGAAGAGGAAAGCCATTCACAGTGTCAGTCACCATGAAGAAGTCCTCAGGAAGTGGGAACTCCAAGGACACGGAGGAAGGCTGAAGGGCCAGGCAATAAGAGCCTCGAATAGAGGGCCCCCAGCTACATATGGGTAGTGGTGTGTAGGTTAGATGAACCAGAAATGTATTTCCTATCTGTGATCTCCTAACTTTACTAAAGCCTTGCCTGACTCACTAGTCTGGTGCTAACCTTGAACAAGGGAAAGCTCATTGGTGCATTATCTGGGGCATCAAAGGTGGGGAAGGGTGCTTTGTTTCGCATGGGTAATAGCAGCGTTGGGCATGGTGGTCAGGGGTATGGGTGCCTTAAGAAGTTCCGGTTCTAAAGGCCAGACACCCAGTGCAACCCTAGAGGTCGTTGGTTTTCTTTCGATAAGGGAAGATGACACTTCTTTACTAAGTACCTGGAGGATATTTAGGAGGAACTACCTGGTAGGCAGCTGCATGGATGAAGCTGGGGCTCAGGACGAGACCTAGGCCAGAGAAGATGAGAGTAGACTTGTGAAACATCAGCCTAGACAGTACCTTAACCTCTCCATGTCTCAGTCACTTAATATGTAAAATGGGTTTCTATGAGATTTAAATAAATAATACATATAAATCACTTAAAACCATTCCTGACCCATAATAAGTGCTCCATAAGTGTTAGTTATTATTTTTATTACTGCTACTTGTCAAAGACATGAAAACAGATGAGCTGACTTGGGTAAGAAGAGGTCTATGGGCAAAAAGCTGCTCTACACCCCTATTTCTGTCTTTGAAACCTTTCCTATCATTCAAGGTTCCACTCCTTCAACTTTCTCCCCAAAAAACTTTTCCTGATTTCCCATTCTACCCAGCTGGCTATGTTACTCTTCTCAGATGAGATGTGTTAGGAATCTGTCCCTTCTTTATAGCACCTACCTCATTCTACCTGAAAATGTAGATACTAGTTTCTATTTTCTCTCTACAACTGGACTGAAAGCTCCTTTAAAAAAATGCACTGCCTTATCCATTTTTTTGTGTCTGGCTCAGTGCCTGGCACACAGTATGTGTTCAGTCAGACTAAAATGAGATCATGCATGTGAAAGTACACTTGTAAGCTGTGGAGTGCTACAAACCCCAAGGATTTTTTTTTTTTTCTTCAAGGGTGTGATGACTTTCTGCAGCTTCTCTTCTACTTTCCAGCTCCAGGACCAGCTCCTGAAGGAGCGCCAGATCCAATGAGGCTGAGGAGTGTGGGCTCCAGTTTCCTAGGCTTAGCTATCAGTCCACTGAAGAATGAGCACCCACTGGGCTCCTACCCCCAAAGAGATGGCTCTTGGCAGGCAGGAAGCAAAGGGTGGTATCTGATCGTTCCAGCCAAGAAGCAGGCCAGGCCAGTTCCCTGTAACTCATGTTCTTCTGACTCACCGCTCAGTCCCATGGGCTGAGTAACTTTTCCAGCCTTGTGATTGTGGAAACTTGTTTCAGGAACAGCTAGCGGATGTGAAAGGGACATAAGGCGACCCCACCCCAGGCTCCCAAGTGGCTGCTACTGGAGCCCATATAGGCTGCTTGTTTCTGTTCGCAGCCTTAAATCACTGTGTCACTGCCCGGCCAAGAGGCACGAGCAGCCCTCTGCCCTATTCCACAGTTAGTAAACCCAAGGCCCAAAAGTAAAAGGCAGCTCTCGGGTTCTCTCCACAGCGCCTCCCGCAGTCCCCAGTTAGGACTAGCTCAGATCAGCCTGGGGGCCTAGGATTTATTGCTTCCAGTTGGCTTGATTTGCATTTGCCACCCTTTGCTTTGTACTCCTGTCCACGTGTTTACAGCTCTCAAGCCTCGCTCGGGCAGTTTGGTTTCTCTTAAAGTGCGGTCCCCGCCTTCGCAGCGTGGCGGCCCAGAGTCACTCCTCTTTACTGCACATCAGCAGCCACGTGCCCAATAAAAGCTGGTGACGACGCCGCGGGTCCAAAGGAGGAAGGGAAGGGCCCCGCCTGCTGGGTGTCACGCGCCCGCCAGGCCCCCGCCCCCACGTGACCTCGGCGCTAGTCCTCGCCCCGTCACTACCCTGGGCTGGGAGCGGAGGCTGGCGCCGGCGCCGTGACGCCCAATCCCTGCGCTGCCAGCCAGGGCCGGGCAGGGGCGACGGAGCGGTTCGGGGTTCGGGAAGAGGAAAATCTCCATCTAAGGCGAAGTGGAGAGAGAGAGGTGGAAGGCAACAAAGGCACTTGTTTAATCCGCCCCTCTAAACTGTAAGCTTCCATGGAGGCAGAGATCACCGTTCCAGAGCGCCTGGGGAGTGTCTGGCACACAGTAGGCGCTCACTGAGTTGATTGGCCACCACCCCTCGGATACTGCCGGAAGCAGCAATGACCCCACCGCCCTTTAGACCGGCCCCTTCACACCCCCATTCACCCTCCCCGCTGTGACACAGCAAATGAGGCAATCGCTCAGCAGCAGGTGAGCCAACACACCCCAGTCAACTGCCCGCGCCCAGAGAAATTCCTCACTAGGGTTCGTTCACACGGGCGTGGGTGCAGACAAAGACCCAAATCCGCCTCCAGCGCCCCCACCGTTGGGCGGGAAGTGGATCTTGAGACTCACCCCATTGGTTCTTCCAATGACGGCTGGAGTCGTCAGCCAACCGCAGCCTGGGCAAGACGCATGCGTACACAAAAGATTCAGCCCCTGTATGGGGGAAAAAAGCCCAGCGGAGCGGACCAATTTTGGCTGGGTCTCGCCGGGCCCTCTAGGAGGAGGGGCGCATGCGTGAATCTCAGCGCCTCTCCGTCCCTCTCCAACCTGAGGGAGAGACAGCGCCCTCTGGCCTCATGGCGCTTTTCCCAGACCTACAGCCTCTGTCGATGCTACGTCGGACCTGGCACTGCCTTGAGGATCCGGAAGAAAGCAAGAATCTCTGTCCCGGCCCTCGGGGACGACACGAGCGTCCCCCAGCACAACCAGAGAGCCGTTGGCCTGGATCTTTGTGCAGAGACCCCTCTGGGAGCTGTGGGCCAACAGTAACGAGAATCTTACTTTGAGGACAACGCTTCGCAGTTTACCAAGCATTATATCCATTATCTTAGGAGTTCCTCACAAAACCTCCTCCAAGTAGGTTCAAGTAAAAATCAGAGGCTCAGGAAGGCGAAGGCAGGAGGCCGAGGACGCTGCGAGGGTGGAGCCGGGACTGGAACCCAGGCCGCCCAGCTCCCCACTCAGTGCTCTTCACCGTGATGAGCTGCCTCCCTGCTCTCCAAGGAGCTTATTATGTCTGGTTGAGGTGATGACACTTAAGATATAGGAAAAGTGAAGGTACACTTTCAGCCCATTCTTTAATAGACAATGAGTGCTGGAGGCATTTAAAGCGGGGAAGATCACCTTGTGCTCTTGTGATTTGAAAAGGCTGCATGAAGAAGATGACTTCAAAGTACATACTTGGCGTGGATAAATCTTAGGAACATAATATTGAAGGAAAAAAGAAGTCCCGGAACACTACAAACATTTGAAACGATTTTTGTAAATTTCAAAAAAACAAGCAAAATTAAACAATACATTGTTTAGGTATATATGACAAAACATTTTAAAAAGCAGAGAAATGATAAACACAAAATTCATTAGTAGTAACCTTGAAGAGAGATTGGGGATGGGATGGGGAAGAACAGGCGGATGCTATTGGTAATGTTTTAGTTAATGGGTTAAATGGTAGATTTATGGGTATTTCATTATAAATATATGTGTGTGTGTGTATATATACATATAAAACAGGGGCCAGCCCCGTGGCCCAGTGGTTAAGTTCGCACGCTTTGCTTCTGTGGCCCAGGGTTTCGCAGGTTTGGATCCTGGGCATGGACATGGCAATGCTCATCAGGCCACGCTGAGGTGGCGTCCCACATAGCACAACCAGAGGCACTCACAACTGCAAAATACAACTATGTACTGGGGGGCTTTGGGGAGAATAATTTTAAAAAAAGAAGAAGATTGGCAACAGTTGTTAGGTCAGGTGCCGATCTTTAAAAAAAATAAACACATATAACAATTATTCTTTTGTGTGCATAAAATATAATTTAAAAAATAATAATGGAATCACTTCCCCCTCCAAAAATATATTACATAGTTGTAGAGAAGGGAGAAAGCCTTACTTATATTACACTTAATTTCCAGAGCATTTCTACACATTTTATCAGTCGATCCTCAGAACAACCCTTCAAGATATTATCTCCATGTTAGCAACTGAAAGTTATTTAAGGCAGTGAGTGAAGACAGGAAAGGTGGGAGTGCAGAAGGCCAGTGGGGAGCCCTGTGCAGCTGACTCTCCAGTGTGCCAAGCACTGTGCCTGGGACAGAGAACATGATCAGTGAACATTTGTTGAGTGGGTGCCTGAACTGTCTAATTACTTGGGCGTCTAGCAGTGAAACGAACTGTCCTGGAAGTAGTTGAATACCGTACACAGCAGCCGGCTGACCACTGTCAGGATCAGGAATACTACAGAAGGGATTCTCTCTCTGGGTGAAGGCTGAATAGATAACCTCTAAGGTTCTTTTCTTTTCTTTTCTTTTCTTTGAGGAAGATTAGCCCTGAGCTAACTGCTGCCAATCCTCCTCTTTTTGCTGAGGAAGGCTGGCCCTGAGCTAATATCCATGCCCATCTTCCTCTACTTTATACGTGGGATGCCTACCACAGCATGGCGTGCCAAGTGGTGCGAACTGTGCCACCAGGCTGGCCCCTCTAAGGTTCTTTTCAATTCTAAGTCTCCATGAGTTTATCAGAGGCTGAAAGAGATGTTAAGATGATAAGTCTCTCCACTGGTGTGGTAGAAATGGTCACCAAAGAAAGGCCAGGATAAAACAGACATTTTGAAGGATAAGTTAATAGGACCTATTGCCAGAATAGATATGAGGTGTGTTGTAGTTGTTGTATGTGGCTACAGGATGTTGATACAACCCAGCTGGAAGAATGGTTGTGCTACTAAGTAAGTAAAACAAGGACATTCATTTAGAAATGCCTAGGGGCCGGCCCGGTGGTGCAGCAGTTAAGTTCGCACGTTCCGCTTCTGAGTGGCCCGGGGTTCACTGGTTTGGATCCCGAGTGCAGACATGGCACCACTTGGCAAGCCACGCTGTGGCAGGTGTACCACATATAAAGTGGAGGAAGATGGGCACGGATGTTAGCTCAGGGCTAATCTTCCTCAGAAAAAAAAAAAAAAGAAAGAAAAGAAAAGAAATGCCTAGTAGGCAGTTGACAGTACAGGATAGTACTCAGGAGAAATAGGGGCTGAAGACACCCTGAAATGTAAGAGAAAGAGCACTGGAGTTTGAGTTAAGAGACCTGATTTCTAGACGTGGCCTTGCCTTTAATTAACAGTGTCACCTTGGACAAGTCACTTAATCTGTCTGAGTCTCTTTCCTCACATATTAAAGAACATATACACACAACAAGAACTAAAAAGAAGAATGTGCCCTATCCCCTTCTCAAGATCTAGTGAAATCTATTCATATAGTGAAATATACAGATATCCATCACTGGAACTTTGCTTTCCTCTGTTGTCCCATAATGTGATGTTCTTTCTCCACTATAGGACTTTTACTTTGTACACATCTGCTAGAAGTGAGTTCCTTGAGAGAAGGAATCCTATCTCACTCAAGTTTATATTCCTCCACGGTGCCTCGCACAACATAGGAACTCAGTAGATGTGTCTTGGATTGCACAGAATTGGGTGGTAAAGTAGAAAGAGCATTGTTTAATCTCTCTGAGAGTTAAAATTCCTTACTTGTAAATTAAACTAGTTAATTTTTAAAGTTCTTTTGACTTCTAGAATTCTGTTATCCAACTATGTTCTAGGGATTGAGAAGACTGAAGTATCTGATCTCTAAAATCCTTTCCAACCCCAATATTCAGTGATTCTATAATATTGAGTTGGAAGTTGTCTCATAGAAGTGATAGTTAAACAAATTCTCAGAGGGAAATTGTGTAGCAGAAGATTGAGATCAGAAGCAACACCCAGCTATCCAATACAAGAAAGAGAATCCAATGAAAGTGACATCAAAGCATCAGTCTGAGAAGAAGAGATAAAAATAACCGGGGTGACAAAATCAGACGCCTAGAGGAGCCAGGCAGATAGTGTAAATGAGTGAAGTGGTCCTGCGGTAATCGTTAGGGAGTGGGGGAGACTGGAGAGGCCATGGCCCATCTAAAGACGTCAACTGTCTCAAGTTACCAATGCTTGTGTTGCCACATCTTCCAGTTTTTAAGGTGAAGCTGGAAATCCAGGTTTTTATTTGAATTTTCATGATTTTTAAGTGTTGTCAATCAATTCAGATCATTTTAAAATTCTATGTAGGTAAAAAAAAAAACAACCCACAAACAAAAGCCAAAAAACACATCTGTAAGCCAGATTTGTTGGGCCACCAGTCTTTAACCGCTCTAGTATAGTACCAGGGAGGAACACTTTTCCCACCCTCAAATTATACATGCTTAAGTATGATTTTAGTGGAAGAGCTTCCGGTTCCTGTTCCTGTTCACAGCAGTTCTATGACATCAATCCCAACCCTGCTTGGTACCTCCAGGGATTTACCTTGTCAATAGCCCCTCGCTGTCCTGTTTCCAACTTCTCCTTTTCTACTTGCATCTTTCATTCAGTCTAACAACATGCTGAAGTCTCTGCATGTGCTAAAAACACTGCTCAACTATCCTAAAATCCCTTCTAGGTACTTTCTAGGAAGTTCTTTCTTGTTTCTTTCTCCAAGAAATTTCTTGACAGAGTCAATTGCATTTGCTATTTCTGCTCCTTCTCTTCCCATTATAATGTGGCTTCATTCCTCAACTCACAAATGTCCCACCACTCCACTGAAGCCTTTCTGACCAAGGGCAAAGGTCTCTGTTGCTAAATTAATTGAACTGCTCCAACTGGGCTAAATTCCTCAAATATCAAGGATTATGCATTTGTTTTTTTTTTAGTCTTAGCACTTAAGTGATGTTCCGTCAATGTTTATTGAATCAAAGAGGCAAGTATTTTCAAGAAAGAAAGATGGTCAGCATCATCAAACTTGCAGAAAGATCAAAGACTATGTTGGTCAAATGAAACACAATTGAATTTTAGTATAAGGGGATTATTGGTGACTTTGAGAGGGCAGCTTCAGCAGAGGATGTTGGAAGCCATATTGCTGTGGTTTATAAAGGAAAGGGCTGTGAAGCGATAACAGAGAGTATAGATTATGTATTGGAGAAGTTTGGCACTTAGAGGGAAGAAAAATCAAGCAGGAGATATTGGAGACAATAGTGCCAATTGGAGTTCTTAAGATTGAGGAAATCCTGGCATGTCTGCAGGTAAAGGAGACAAAACCAGCAGCATGGGAGATGCTGAAAGTGCTTGAGGAAGGGGCCTACTTGAGAGTGCACCATCAGAGGTGATGGGAGAGAACTGAGCAAGCAGCCAATTGAAGGGGTTGGTTGGCCTTTACAAGGAAGTGAAAAGTCTCCTCTGAAGTAGGCGGGAGGGTCAAAGGCCTGAGTCATGATTATACACGGCTCTGGAGTTGGGGAAGGGTGATATAGGAGAGCTCCTGTGCATTTTATCAACAAGATGGAAGCAAGGTTATGTCTCCAATAATGGGGTGGTGTAGCAGAACGATAGATCGTTGGCGATCTGAGAGACGTTATTCTTTTCTGGCTATGCTCCTTTTGCTCACTCTGTCTTGTTTCCCGGGGGTTCTGTCTCTGGCTGCCCTCTCTACTCCTTTTCAGGGAAGTGTCACCTACTCCTAAAGCAACTCCTAAATGCTGATGATGCTCAATCTGTATCTGTAGCTTAAACCTCTCTTGAGCTTCAGATCTATGGATCCACCTGCCTGTGTAACATATCCCCAGGATATTTCACAGGTTAAATTGAATAGGAACTCAGTATCTTCAGGACCGATGCTGTTAATTTCTCCTAAATTCCTTATCCTAGCTAATGGTCACAATGCTTTCCCAGTTGCTCAAGCCAGATACAGGATACAGATTTTCATCTCTCTCTCTCTCTCTTTCCCTCTCCCTCTCTTCTTTGTTTCTCTCTCTCTGCAAATGTATGTATGTGTGTGCGTGTGTGTGTGTGTGTATAAGTAGATATTTAAAAGAATAGCAACATACTTACATTTTATGTGTGATATTTTCTTCTTCTCTTACTGTCATGATCATTTATCATATCAATAAATACTTTTCTACATTTTTGCCTCCTACACATGTGCTGTGTTCTACTGCCTTGTTGCAAATTTTGTTTCCTTTTTTTCTATTATAAGTGGCACTGAACATATCTGTACATGTCTTTTATTTCCCTAGAACTGAAAATGGAAGGCAAAGGAGTGCGCACATTTGAAAAGCTTTTAATACATATTGCCAAATTGGCCTTCCAGAAAAATTGTACCAGGAGTATATGGTAACATTCATTTGCCTGTCCCTTTGCCAACATTGGATATTATTATTTTTAATTTTTGCTGATTTGATAAATTATATCTGACCCTTCAACTCTGAGCCCCTGTCTTTCTCCTAAATCTTTCATCACTCCCTTCTGAGCATTCCCACAACTCCCCTGGGATACACACCTTACTTGAAAGGCAGAGGAGAAGGTGGCAGCAAGTTTCTCGTAGGGGTAATTCTCAATCTTCTGCACTTTCTGGAAGCCTCTAGCCAACTTTCACTGCTCTTGTGCACAGTGGTTTCTTTTTTGTGACTCTTCAGTGTCTTCCCTTATCTCCCTCTTTTCCTAAATTCCTGTCGCTGAGAGG